TCTCTCTCTCTCTCTCTCTCTCTCTCTCTCTCTCTCTCTCTCTCTCTCTCTGTGTGTGTGTGCACGCTTTCTGTTGCTTTGATAAAACACCATGGCCCAAAGCAGAGAGTTTACTTTGGCTGACGGTTCAGAGGGACAGAGCCCATAGTGGTGGGGACGGCAAGGCAAGTGGTAGAAGCAGGAGGCTGGCTGGTCACATTTTTATCCACACGGGAAGCAGGAAGTGGAGTGAGACTGTAAATTCTCAATGCCCATCCCCAGTGAAGAACTTCCTTTAGCAAGGCTGTACCCCTAAATGATCCATAATCTCCCCAAACAGCTCTATCAACCGGGGACCACGTATTCAAATATACAGCTGTTGGGGGACAGATCTCATTCAAAAGTCCACACCAAGTTTGGGCAGTCCATGCCAAACTGTTTGCTCCACAACCGAGGAGTGTGTACACATCTTTCCTTCCTCGTCTATCCCGGGAGGCTCAAGAGACTGCACCAACTACTCCTATCTCCTATGAACTTACAAAAATATGGTTTACTTCCTGGAGACAACCAACTGCATAACTGTCACCTGGCTTAGGGCTGCCAGCACAAGTGCTATGTTTAAAGGGGCAGAGAAAAATAGTAAGTAGAGCATGAGGACTTACTGGTTCTAAGATGCTGTTTTCTTCACTTTGTCAGCCATTCTTCTCCGGAGAATGAGAATCCAGCAGATGAACCTATACTTCCATGTTTATGTGTCTCCTTACCCTGGGGTTGGGCACAGACCTGACATCTCCCTGGGTCAGGACATGAAGGATCCTGCCCAAATTGGATGGTTGTGGTTTGCCCTGTTTCATAAACAGACATGGGAGAGTGGTGGGATACTCCCGCTACATTGTTTTCTGCCCCACGTGCATATGATCCACCTTGTTTGCCTTGAATCATCACCCCTGGCCACCCTAGCTGGCAGAGTGACCCACTCCCTGCCTAGTGCCACTGGTGTGAAAAGTCAACACGGCCCAGAGGCAATGTCCTTTTTCCATTGCTGGGGCCACTGGTGGCAAAACCCTCCAATCAGCAGAGTATGAGAGCGCAAGGACAAGAAGATAACTCAGCTTTTCCAGTAGCCTGTTAGAGGGACCGGGGACTAGAGAACCAGTTCCCTGGACTTCCAGACTTGAATCTTTACTAAATAAGAAACAGACACCATGTTTGTTTGCCAACTGGGAGAGTCTACAAGGCAGTCTGCGGCCATCATGAGTGGCTATGCCGCCATATCATCACCTACTGTTCACGTGCCATTTGGGGACAGCTGCTTCAAGGTGACGAGGTACAAGAGGAGATGAGTGACGCACACAAGCCAGGGAACACCGCTGCACCTCTCTGGTGATGTCATGAACTCCCTAACGGGCAGGGAGCCCCGAGTGGTGCACTTCGCCAGTGAGCTGTGTATTCCTCGGGCCCACGCAGCCTTTGGCAAAGCACTTCAGGCTATGACACCATAATGACGCCATTCGAGATGAAAACTGTGTGTTGTGATCACTTGTCCAAAGAGCAAATGGCCTTTCAACTCAGGCAAAACTGCCATGCTGGGGAGCCCAGATTGGTATGTGGGTGAGTGGGTATTCTGCTGTGCTTAGAATCAGATGGCCATCAGTTGACTGGAGTTCCATAACAGAGCCCATGTAAAACCTCCACACTATCTCTCCAGACCACTTTTTCTTGAGCCCACTGAGCAAGGGCAAAGGAATGCAGAAAAGATGATTTCCTCACACCCAGGAAGCAGGCCTTCCTGCCCAGCTGATGAGTGAAGGCCGCCTTTCAGACTTGGCTCTTTCCTGATGGTTCTCATGGAACAAGCAGATCCTCAGACTCTGTGGTCATTTAGAGAACTGCTTTTTTTTGGGGGGGGGGCACTGCTCAAATTTAGATGTGTTTCTATTTCTAAATCACTGGGATCTAGCCTGGGCACGGGGGAGTGAGCTGATTGGCTCCAAATTTAGAACACACCTAGAGCGGGGGTTGTAATTGGACCATGTGATGATTCTGCTATCCTTTCTTGTCATTTATCGGGATGTGGAGAAACCAGGATTGAATCAGGAAATTCTACCTGTGTCTTCCTCGTGTCCCAGTCAGGGGTGTTTGTGTCTCCAGGTGCCCCAGAATGGGACATCACATATTTCTTCCTTGGCAGAATAGGAAATAGACCTATTCTTAAAATCATTGCTCTTGTTCCATAGTGTCTCTTCCTTGGTGCTTCTCTGGCTTTTGCTGGGGTCAGAGGTGAGTCTGCAAACCTGCCTACAGGTCTCTCAGGAATTGTCAGGCAGGCATAGAAACACAGTGCACAGATGCACATGCCTATGATCACTGACAGGCAGGAGGGAGCATGTGCTGACTGACCCACACAGTGCTTAGAGCACAGAGCCCCGCAACAGAGAACACGGAGCCCCAGTCTAGAAATCTGAGCTTGTCCTTTCTATTTTTTATTTGACTATGTGAGCGGGAAGTAAGAAGTGTTGGTCATTGTCCACAAAAGAAGTTTCTCTCTCCAGTTCTTAGGGCACAGGGTTCGTCTGTTCTCTCTGTACTTGAATAGAGAAGGATTCCCATCCTCTCCCTTGCGTGGGATCCGGGGTTTGTCCACAAAGCAGAGACTGATCTCATGTCTACGTGTTTTGTTCTCCGAAGGCTTGTGGTGTGGTGGTGGGAGAGCCAAGTAATTAGAGAGGTTTGTATGGTTTGGGGCAGTTAAACCCGCCGTGCAGTGGGGCTCGCTCCAAAGTTAACAATTATCTTAACACAATATTTACCTCATGGGGAAGCAGCCACGCTGTCTGCCTCTTCCTTCAGTGAAATCTCCTGTGGAGCAGACTTCAAAACCGTGCAGAAAAAAACGCTAGCTTTGTAGCGAGCGCTGCTGGATCCCGGCAGCGCTGAGGATCGAGGTGGCCCGTGGAACTCTTTGGATCTGAGGTGGTCAGATACGTGTGACTGATTGACAGCTCTATAATGTTACAAACAGTGCTTCCTGTCGACTCAGGCACTGTGGTGGAGTCCTTGTCATTTTCTTCTGCTAACAAGAAGTGAGGCACCAGGAGGTGACTGTATTGATTATTTTTATTGATCGTATTATTCAAGTAGTTATCAAGCTTAGGCTAAACTGCATGCTCTCTAGAACCTGCTGTGACAGAGGGTGAACAGGACATCATAATAGAGTTTGCTGCAAATAGTGTGACTGACAGAGATGCAGCCATGTGTGTCTTAATGTCGACTGGGAGCAGGGCTTTCCGGGAGGCTCAGGAAGTTTTCTCCTCACCTTGGGTCTATTTCAGGATGGAGGGAGCCAACCACTGGACTGTCTTTCCTCTCTAATGTGTCTCCTTTGGATAGAACAAGTAGAGTTACAGGTCTTGGTGATGATGGATCTTCTGTGGGTCTACATGCTAGTTGGCTTCCTCGTTGTCCCCAGAATGAGAGGCTACCTCTCCAGGGAGGAAACAGCTATGGTGAACACAAGACAGCATGCAGTATAGACTTCCAGAAGAACTTGTGGCCAGGGTGAGAAGACGTATGGGCCGAAGGTAATTTAGTAGGTGCTTGGGTACTTACATGACTATAAAGACGGCAGGTTTATGAGGAGCGTGAAGAGTTCTGAAGAGGAGAAGAGTCCTATTCAAGGGAGGTAGAACTGGATTGTATTTTAAATATTTTTATTCTGTTTCTATATATTCATTCACGGCAACAGAATGCAACATAACATAATATAACATAACATAATAAATATAATATAGTACATAAACTGCCAAGCAAATAGATATACACACATGAGCTCACACATGGCCTCTCCCAGCCCCTTACCATCACACATCAAGCACCAAGTGCCGCAGACTAAACTCTTAATTCTTGAGAACGTGTTGTGATGCTGCCTAGTTTTATAATGCTCATCCTTAACTTTGGCAAACACACTTGGTGGTGGTGGTGGTGGGCTTCCAAAATGAGCAGTGTTGGGAGTCATAAATCCTGCTTTTGAAGGTGGTAACCTGGACCCGTACTTTAGGGCCTTACAAGTGATCTATATGCACAGTGAGGATGTGGACCATTGCTTTAGATAACTAGGAGTCGTTCTCTGCTCTTCAAATTCCCTCCGCCCAGTTCGTGTCTTCTGCATAGGTCTGTATTGACCACACAGTAAAATCTACTCACCCTCTTTCCCACTTTCAGTGGGAGGAGTCAGTCTGTGCCCTGCCTTGAAGTACAGAAGGCAGTGTGGAGTCCAGGTACGAAAGGCACCACCTCCAATGAGGACTGAGTGACCCTCTCAGAGCATTGCCCATGGGTATTCCCCCCCGCCCCCCCGCAACAACCAGCCCCACATCAGGCCAACCTGGAAGATAGGAGCCAGCTCCCCACAGACTTAGTGTAGTTAAGTTGGGGTCCCTAAAAAATTCCCTTTGAGGGTAAAATCTTGATTTTTTTGAGGTTAAGAGGGTGAAGAGCCACTGTGAACATGTCTGAAAAGCTAGGTGTGCTGAGCAAAACCACAGGGTGGCAGATGCCAGTATCTGAAGACTTGAACAGGACAGGAGTATGCTCGGACTGAGTGAGAGCCAAGTCCCTACCACAAGGAACCTTACTCACCGGAAGCATACCCTGTTCTAGAGAGCTTCTAGAAGGTTCTTCCTGATCGTGACTGTGCATAAGGCTGAGATAGAGAAGGATTTAGAAATAATATGCATAGCAGCCATTAAGAATAGGTGTGTGTGTGTGTGTATGTGTGTGTGTGTGTACACGCACACACATGCACGTGTGTGAAAGAGAGGGAAATTTTGTGAGATGTGAGATATAAGATGTCTGTCTCAGCGAGGTGAGCATCTCAGTGAGGCATTTGGATAAAATAAAGGACGAGGAAAGTCCTTCGTGCGTCAGGGAGTCATGACTGAGGACAAAGGCTTGCGGAGCAGGTGGTAACTACAGCTGAGAAGTCATTTACACGCTGGAGGAAACTCCAGATATGATCCAGGTGCTCACAGCCTTCCTCAAAGGCAGGAAGTGACCAACACATAGCAAGACAAGCATGAATCTCAGCGCTGGGACCCTCCTGGGTCTTCTCAGAAGGCCCTCCTTCACCAGCATCCCCTTGCTCTGGCTGGGGTTCCAGCTCTCCTCCACCCTTCAGAACAAAGCTTTCAGCCCTTTGTACCGTCATTTCCACTCTCTCCCCACCTGGCTCTTCCTTTTCTCCACGCTCACAGGCAGGGATGACCTGGGCCACATTCCTGCTGTGCGTGGTGAAACCTCTGTAAAGCCCCTCTGCATTTCCTGCATAGGTGATGCCCCGAGTCCATCTGTGAAAGCAGACATCCTGTTTCTTCTTTATCCCAGGTGTCTCCAGCTCAGTGCCCTTTACCAGTTCTTACAGGTCAGGATGCTCTGCCCTGATCCTCATCTTTCTCACACAGCCTTGGGACTTCAGGTGTATGTATCCAGAGGTCACCCTGAGGACTGTGTAATGTGAGTGGTCAGAACAGACCTCTCCCCTCCATGGCATTGTCCAATCCCATCGAGGCATCCTGGGGGATGCCTCAGGCATATCTCAGCATTCCTTGTGACCACTCCTACAATCCTGCTACATGGTCTCACATATTCACACACTTACATGAACACTGTGCATTATCATGCACACTTATGTGCACATATGTGCACACAAACACACATGTGGGCACTCATTCACATAGGCAGGTACACACACACACACACATTTGGTCTTTTTTTTTTTTTTGTACACATAATTCTATTTTTCCAGTGCTCTGTTGTAAATCCTAAGAGCCAACCTTGACCTCTCCTTCCAATCACATTCCACACTTAATCCTTCAGGAAATCATGCCGGCTCTGCATTCAGTCCACTTCAAGTTGGGCCCTTTCAGGTCACAGAGAGATTATTGCAGGAGCTTTTTTCCTGGTCCCAGAGTGACTTCCTACCTGCCAAGACAAGTTCATTCCAAAACAGTCAGCAAATTCAGTTCAACCCTCCTGTAAGTCTCCATTTGCCTCCAGAACCCTATCGATGGATTTCAAAGCCATGGCCAGGGTGGGCTGTGCCCCTTCTCTGCTCTCATGGAGTTTTGTCCCTCCCTCCAGTCCCGTGTCCAGTCCCCACCACCACCACCACCACTGCCTTCAGATCTTCACCCCGCAGGAGCCTCCCAGGAGCCTCTGTCCCTCCCGCTCCTCTGCAGACTGTCCCAATGTCACCCTATATAAAGGTACAGTTCCTTTGTCCCCTTACCACGAGGCCACCCTGGCCCTGCAGCTCACTCTCCCAGTGCCTTTTTCACCATCTAAAAGACCCACGGAAATTCCCCCTGTCTTTTGGGGTTCCTTGACTCCTGGGTTGAGTGCCAAGTCTGGACAGCAGGAGATGAGCTTTATCTGAAGTTGTGTGTCTGATTTACAGACAGCAACAAGAATTCAGATAAGACGTGAACTTTCCAGGCATTTACCCTGAGACCTCGGCGCCTGGGTCTGTGTACACAGAAGACCCCCGAGGTTTATTACTTTGCTCAATTTTTTTCTCCCAAGTACTAAAAAAAAAAAA